GCTTGTTTATTAAGACTCTCCTGATATGTATCTAAATGAGTGAAGCAAGTGCATGTGAAAGTTCATCTGGATTTACTAGTAAACAAACGTCCGTGCCATCGCAGCCGATATGGCAGCCATATGATGTTAAAAATGTGTCTCGTGATGTTAAATACTATATATATATATATAGAGAGAGAGAGAGAGAGAGAGAGAGCACAAAAATGTGTTCCTGGCTGGAAGTGCAGTCTTGAATCAGCACCATTGGTTTTGTGAACAGATGTTAGTCGGTGATCGCCTTGAAAAACATCCACCCAGTACAGCGCGGTTCTTGTTGAGAATAGATAGAGAAGGAGGATCAAATAGCGCGGTTCTTGTTGTGGAAACAGTAGAGAAGAATGTCAAATAGCTTCTTTATTAAGACTCTCCTGATATGTATCTAAATGAGTGAAGCAAGTGCATGTGAAAGTTCATCTGGATTTACTAGTAAACAAACGTCCGTGCCATCGCAGCCGATACAATCGCACAGCGTCCTTGTCATGGGTTTACCATATGACGTTAAAAATGTGTCTCGTGATGTTAAATACTATATATATATATATATATATATATATATATATATATATATATATAGTAGAGAGAGAGAGAGAGAGAGAGAGAGAGAGCACAAAAATGTGTTCCTGGCTGGAAGTGCAGTCTTGAATCAGCACCATCGGTTTTGTGAACAGGTGTTAGTCGGTGATCGCCTTGAAAAACATCCAGTACAGAAAAAAATCTAATAGACTAAGAATAATCTTTCAAAAATTCTAATGAACAGGCACAGTCTGCTATTAATAACTTCTAATATTAACCCCTGCTAAGTGGACTACACTGCAGTATGATTAAAATAAACCAGGCAACAGGCCAACTCGCGTATTCCCGCCAAAAGCCTGGGCAAGCTCCCAATAGACTGGTTATCCAGCTGTAGTACTAAAACAAATCACATTCGCGATGTCATGACTTTGCGATGGAGCAATCAACGCGAATACCGCGAAAATAAAACCACCACGAACATTACAAGATTTACAGTACATTCTATCAACAATTTGTCACCAAATATATCGTACATGTACATGTACAGTCGTACAGAAAAACAGAAAAACTTACCCCATCACATTGACAATATAACCAGCTAGGGCTTTTAAATCGGTTACTTTGTTACTACGTGTATTTATAACAAATTTCTATAACCAATTGCTGACAATTTTCTAAGTAAACAAAATTCTATCTTGTTTCCTGGGAGCCTACTACCAATTCAAAAAATAAAAGGAAAAAGAGGTGGAGACAGTCCTAGAGTTACCTAATTAGACAACCTACATTGTGATACTAACCTGTATTATACCAACTATACTCGTCTGGTAGCTAAGAAGGATAATCAGTTTCCAAGAACCTGAGGTACTGAAAGTTGACTTACAGAGTTTTCTTGAAGCAGCCCGTGGTGTTTCTGGTGGCTGGCACTTGTGGAGCGTCTTGAGACATGGCTGTGTCTGAACAGGTGGTAGTCACCAAATATCTACACACAGGGAAAAACACAGTAAAGAAAATTCATATGTGAGAGAGAGAGAAAAAAAACAGTTACACATGGAAAATAGTGACGGAATTACTCTGTACTTCTAATCAGATTTTTTTCAAAATATTTCAGGATAATCATTAAATATGATTTTTAAAAAAATTAGATAATGGGCTTGTCTGTGACAGATTATATTAAAAGTTTCTACACTTGTATTATAAATGTATAGTGATGTAAACTATGTCTACATGTTATATATATGCAGGTCCTCACTGTAAAACAACTTGCTATGATGGGACATCCTGGCTAAATAAAAAACAAACAGAATAACATTATATAGACGCAGCCTTCCTTACCTTCCCGCCATACGTGAAGCCATGTTTGTCTGCCAGTCTGACTGCCTCTTGCTGCCCCCCCACCACCTGCACAGCCCACTCATTACTGTACACCGGATCACGGGCTATCACCATGGAAACCCACGCTAGTAACAACACTGTACTTATAACATGTCGTATTCTGGCCATCCTGCAATACAACAGGAAACAATGGTCACAATAATACACAGCACACACTACCTCAACACTGCAATATCATATTGTATTCTGGTCATTCTGACATGAAACAGGAAACATGTTACAACAATGTAATTAACAACACACACTAACGACAACACTGCAATGTCTTGACATGATGTCAAATAAAACAGAGAACAAGTTACAGCAACAGCACACAGTAGAAACACTGCAACATCATGTATTCTCTGAAATAAATAAAGAAAATCCAACAACAGTCAGTAAGTACAGCACACAGTTTGAATATCATTCTAATCATTTCATCCATGTCTTTTTGATAGAAGGGAGTTCAAACATGACACAAAAAGGACCTTACCTGAAAATATTCCTGAAGTAAATCTAAAATGTTACAATCACCAAAAACAGGAACTAAGGACTTTGTTTACGAGGGTGTGGATGGTACGCAGTGGTCGTTACTGTGCTCAGATTGCTTACGTAAAACACAAACAGAGAATTAATTATTAAACAAGCCTTGCAGCCAGAAAAAATAGCCTCCCCATGACAGGTGCTATTCAGGGTTGTAACACTGTTGTCACTGGGAAAAAGATCAAGAACGAAATTCTATCATAATCATAAAGTTACTGCTGAAATAACGTTACAGCAGGATACAAACCTTATTCCCAAGGATACTGGAGCTTTACTTTGATTAAGTTGGTTAAATGCAGCCTTCCGTTCTTGACTGGTCTAAAACGAGAGATTTGTTCCCTTCTCTGCTGTTTCCTCTGTGTACACCTGAAGTCCTGAACAGTCCTACGTGTATGATAAGTATCAATGTCTGAGATATAACAGAACTGGCTATACAAACCTGATTTCCAAGGACACTGAACTTCTGAAGCTTTAGATTGTACAAATACAGTCTTCTTGAAGTTGTTCCTTCTCTAGTGTTTCTCCTGCGTTACCCCTGAACGGCTCTTAAGTAGATTCACAGTCCGGCTTCTCCTGAACACAGGATATGGCAGCCACGAATTCCGGGAAATCCCTTGACCCCATCGACTGCTCAATGTCAACAGTACCAGTCCCCTATAGGCTATAGCCCCTAGCCTCCGTAGCAGGCTTATAGAACTGGGGGTTTGGTGGTCTTCGGCTGTTTTCTGATTAGCCCAGTTAAAAAAACGTGCTTGGGTAATTCAACCAGGCCGGCTATGTTGTCTATATGCAATCAGAAAATAGCACATTAAAGCTCACAAAGACCCTGAAGACCCCCAAAACCCCCAGTTTTTGGCATGGTCTGGAGGCTATATAGACCCACCCCATGGCCACACCCACCTACGTCAAACGCACATTTACATTACACAAAGAAGAGGCGATGCAAAGAATTTGCCCGAGGCATATCCACCCTCTCATTGGTCGAACTCTAAACTTGATTGACAGCCGGGTTCTGTCTATTGTGAGGCAGTCACGAACGTCTCTGTTGTTGAACTTGAAGTACTATCAGGTTACACAGATGCATTGTACAATGTATACATAGCAACAAGGTGCATGCATGTACCCAAACACAAATAGATGCAGTTCTTAAGACAGCTGGTAGGGGGCAACATTCTGTGGTCAAACAAAAAAATGAATTAAGAACATTATCTATTAAGTGGAGCATGGGTGATATCCTATTTTGTTTTCAGAGAGTGAGTATGGGGGCCCTGGCACCCACTGCTACAAAACTGTAAAGACTATTACTAGTAATAGATATAAGTATTATGCCTGAATGATCCTACAAAGCACAAATGTGACATTCTGGTAACTTCTTTCCATCCTAAACTCCTAAAGTTTAAGTTCTTATTATTACAGTTCCAATATCTTCAGATTTTACTAGATATAACATATAAGTAAAACCATTACAACAACACCCTAATCAAGTCACTCCATAATTGATTAACGCATTATATAAACCCTTTCCCCTTCTTGTCTAAGACATGTGCATGTGGGAATATTTGGCACATGTGATTTAGCTAATCAAATTATGAGCCTACGTGAGCTAATAGAATCAACTATTAGATCATTTTTATACATCAAAAACTACTTTTATCCGAAGTCTGTAAAGTCCATACCTTTGTCTTGCAATGTGGTAGCCGCTGCATTGGTGGCGTTTCTGTGTAGCCGTTGTTTTTAGGTTAAAAGTTAATCAGTGATGAGAACACTACATCACATGTTTACCTGCACTATTTACTTCCGCCTACGCCCCCGTGGGATATTTCACTCACTCCAAGGGGGTGTTTAAAATTTAGTTTGTTAAAAAGATACATTATTTACTGATTTTCTTCTTTATAACGTCATGTAATGAGTAAAATATACTTTTAATTATATATTCTAATACCTATAGTGAAGGATATTAACGACAATACGATATATATTATATTTACTAAAATTATCCTCCCATAGAAATAGTCGCTTAGTCTAGACTTTAAGCCAATGAAACAGCGTCTCTTATAAGCACGCGTTCAACCATATCCGAGATGGAAACGGCTCTCTGGTTGGTCGATCGGGAAAAGTTGCGCAGTTCTGATGCGCAGTAACTGGTTTCACATGCTGTTCGAAAATGGCGCCTTCTGCGAACGATTTTGCGAACTGAAAGTCGTTTCACGTCGTTTTTAGACAGTTTTGTTCACTTATAACAAGTATAAGGTAGGTGGAACATACAAGAACGTCTTATTCTTTGTTTTAAGCCACAAACGTTTGTTGATCTGAGGTAAAATGTGTCATAATTTTAGGAAAAACTTTGTTCCCCCCTCCCCCCCTCCAGTCGAACATGGTACCAAAGTTGCACACTGTTGATCTTGCCTTGATTTTGTGTAGCTGATTATCAACATTTAACTCCATTAACTTTTATAACAAAAGCAGTCATATGTACCTGGAATTTAAAAGAAACAACAACAAGTTACAACTTACAAAACAGTAATACATGTATTACAATTTATTACACCGGTACACCTAATAATGTAACAAATGTTAGTATAATTTGTTACATGTAACATTGTAAAACAATTCTTACATGTTATATATATATATATATATATATATATATATATATATATATATATATATATATANAGAGAGAGAGAGAG